GCTGAGGGAGCTGGGGTTGTGTAGCTGAAGAAAAGGAGACTGAGGGGAGACGTCATCACTCTCTACAGCTCCCTGAAAGGAGGTTGTAGGGAGGTGGGTGCTGGCCTATTCTCCCAGGTAACTGGTGATAGCACTAGAGGAAATGGCCTCAAGCTGCATCAGGGGAAGTTTAGATTAGATATTAGGAAAAACTTCTTCACTGAGTGGTCAGGCACTGGAACAGGCTGCCTGGGGAAGTGGGGGCGCCACCATCCCTGGGGTGTTCAAGGAACCTGTACACATGGCACTTGAGGACACGGTCTAGTGGGTATGGTAGTGTTGGGTTGATGGTTGGACTGGATGATCTCATAGGGCTTTTCCAACTTTTGCAATTCTGTGATCCCTGGAACTCCTGCAGAGGTTGGGGTGCCTATTGTGACAGGGGGATTGTCCTCGAAGCTGCTGGGAGAGGAGGGCTGGGAAGGAGCAGCCAGTCCAGTGGAGCAGTGGTCCCGAGCCTCAAAGCTGCTCAAGGCTACAAGAAAGCAAAAAGTTAGAACTGAAGCTGCCAGGGCAAAATATGCTGTTACTGGCAATGCATTAATTACTCAGTGTTGTTCCCGGTGGCCGATGACCCAGCAATCAAGAACAAGCCATGAGTAATAAATTACGTCGAGCGTGGGTTCATTAACATCACAGATGAAATGCAGATTAAGTTCTGCGCAGAAGGCAGGGAACATGAAGAGCAAATACTGAGGTAACATACAGTAAGCGTACACAAGCTAGCTGTCGTGCTTAGTCCAGGGGTAACAGGCCCTAGGTAGGGGGGATGTGAAACTCCTATCGATGAAATTATTTGCTTTATGACAAAAAAAGAAAGGCAGGCTGCTCTGGAATATGCTCACTTTCTCCTGAACCAGTAAGACTGCCTCTTGTAGTGTTTATGTGTGCTTTTCTAATCATTAATACAGCCCTATACTGACTTGATCCAATTGAAAATGGATGAAGTTTGCTTTCCTGTATATCAGTCATCTTATTTCTACCAGTGCTTTTACTGTAGTGGTCAGTTTGGGAGCTCCTGCAGAGAAGGTTGCAGGTTCAGTGATACAGTTCAGGTAGTTAATACAGGGTGAAGAAGCCCTATAGCTTTTCATTCCAGATCAGGCAGATGACTAGTGTGCTGGTGCTGGCTAACAAAATCCTGTAGAAGTGTTGCAGCGCAAGAGAAAAACATAGCTGTCAAGTACCTTACTGGTATTTTGCACTTTCAGTCTCAAATGCTTACTTAAAGGTCATTCATCCAAAAGGAATTTGTATATTCTTTAACCTTTCTCAATCACTCTTGCTCTCTCCCAGTACCCTTTGAAGTCATCCGTAGTGTTCATGAACTGACAGGTGGTCTTGTTCTGCTGAATTCAGTAATGAGCTGTTCTTCGCACCAGATTTTTTTTGGGGGGGTGGGGGGAGCACAGGCAGGTCATCATTGCCAAGATAAAATACTCTATTTTTTATTTATGGAACAGAAGCTTTTATACTACTGATAATGGAGTGATCTGAACCCAGGGGTCTTGAAAGTAGGTCATTAAGTACTCAGTATAGGAAAAAGTGTGTTTTCCAGTGTTCTTTATTTTGCTGGAGGGAATTGTCTTGTTTTCTAAATCTTGGCTTTAAAATCAAAAGACTTTTATAATAAAAAAAAATTGATCATTTGATTTCATCACAAAGAAAATAATTATATCTAAGAGTAACATATTTTGAATCAGAAATAACATTTTTCCATTGATTTTTTTTTTTTTGAGCAATAAAGTGTCTGAAAAAACCATTTTTCTATCATTGGACAACATAGATTTTTAAAGTCAATAATAGAGCAGATTGCCTCAAATTGGAAAATACAGAAACAACCGTGGCATTTTTTGTTGTTTATCTGTTGGTTGGTATTAAACAAATCAGCGGTGCACGATACAGCAACAGTAGTTCCTGGGCTGTAAGCTGTGTACAGGAAAGTTGCTGGGAGTCCATTTAGCCCGTGATACTTACAGCAGTGCGAGGTTGTGCTCGTGTGTTATGGCCACCGAGGTGCTGTCGTGGGCTTTACCAGCCCCTAGCAAGGGTCACCTGCTCCCTTCATTCCTTGGGATAGCCCATCTATCCCGGAAAAGCACCAGTTGATTCTGCTATCGTCTGGGGTTCATAGAATCACAGAATGGTTTGGGTTGGAAGGGACCTTAAAGACCATCCAGTTCCAACCCCCCTGCCATGGGCAGGGACACCTTCCACTAGACCAGGTTGCTCCAAGCCTCATCCAGCCTGGCCTTGGACACTTCCAGGGATGGGGCATCCACAGCTTCTCTGGGCAACCTGTCCCAGTGCCTCACCACCCTCTCTGGGAAGAATTTCTTTCTGATATCTAATCCAAACCTCCCCATTTTCAATTTAAACCCATTACCCCTTGTCCTGTCACTGCAGGCCCTTGGAAAAAATCCCCTTTTAGCTTTCTTGTTGGCCCCTTCAGGCACTGGAAGGTGCTCTAAGGTCTCCCTGGAGCCTTCTCTTCTCCAGGCTGAACACCCCCAACTCTCTCAGCCTGTCCCCATAGCAGAGGGGCTCCAGCCCTTTGAGCATCTTCGTGGCCTCCTCTGGACTCGCTCCAATCAGGCTATATCCCTCTGATGTTGTGGGTTCCACAGCTGGACACAGCACTCCAGGTGGGGTCTCAAGCACTGAGCTGGCCGTCTTGTACCCTCTTTTCTCTCTCTCCCCATATGTGTTTTTAGGGGACTGGAACTGAGAGGCGATTTGGGCAACTTCTTCGGTCGATACTTGGCTCGTTCAGCGAGTGCCCTGTGTATCGATACGTCTGACATGTTGTAGAAGTAGCCGTGTGCTCTGCCGTGTTGTGCAGGGGGTGGTACGTGCAGCTGAGGTACCCATGAAAATGCGGCTGCCATTGAATGTCAGCGGCTTTCATCTGTGTTACCTGTTACCTTTCCAGATAATCAATACAGATGCTATAAAACTTATCTGCCTCTCACCCTGACCCTCTTCTGGGCATTTTGAAGCCAGGCTCATGAAGCAAGGGCTGCATTGCCTACCTAAAATACAACTAACTCATATGTCACGGGTCTGCACTTTTTTGGTTTGCCTTTTTTTTCCAAATATCACTGTAATAATTACTATAACAGAGAGCTTTGTGTGGAGTTAATGTTCTTCTGGCTTAATGGCCCCTGGTTATTCTCAGGCCATCAACTTTTCCCAGCTGGTCATCAATCCCAGAGAACTGCCTTGTGCCTCCATTATTATTGCTTAAGTAGATGACATTTCTGGTGCAAGCACTGCCTCCCAATGAGATGGTATTACAGCCAACAGCATTTTCCCCCCTTGCTTTCAATATTGTCAGAGCACTATAAACAGCTGGTACGAGGATGTTGTGGCTGTTGGCTGTGAATTCCTCTGACAGTTTTTAGGTGCGAGTTTTGTAGCTCTCGACTGAAAGAATCTGAGTGAGGGGACTGAAAATGACTTGCCCGGAGCAGCTACACGGGCTCAGTCCCCATGCATCATTCGGGAAGTAGCTGGGAAACACCTGAATGTTTCAGCCTTAAGACATTTTCCCAGAAGGAAGTTTTCAAACAAGATCTGGGACAGATGTTTTTGGGGGCGTGTGTGTGTGTGTGTGAATGTTTATCATCTAGCAAACGTTGACATCCCCTCCCTCATCCCCCTCCCCAAGTTTCCACAGCTCCACCAAAGGTCCCCTTTGTTTCCGAACAATGGATGGATTCTCTGGCAGACTTCTACAAGAAAAGTTGTAGCTCAGTAGGCCAGAAACAAGCAGAGATTGTTGAGGTGAAAATGTCTTGCTGTGTGGATATTCAGACCCATGTGAGTTAACACTGGTGCTGACTGCATTTCCTTTAACCTCATTAGCACTTCATCCTGCTTTCCCAAGCATGATGGTGGAGCAGCTAGCTCACCTTAGAGCCTTTTGCTAGGTAATTCATCAAAGTGGCAGATGAAAGCTTAAAGGAAAATGCATGTAAATACTGCATTAGGAACCTTGGCTCACAAAGGCATGAACATTTCTACCCATATCATTAGCTCTGGATGACAATCCAGATATGTGAAGGAAAAGGGACTTTGGAAAGGACAGCCATAGGAAGCTCACTGGTCATATCATTATGCAAATTGTGTCGTTTAGTTGTCTTGTCTTTAATTAAAAAGCACCTCATCATTCAATAGCTATTCTCATGGGGAAAAAAAAGCTCAGACGGCACCCACTTAATACCTTCAAAATCCAAAACAAGTTACTGAAGTAAAACACCCCCTTCAAATGCTAGGGGCCAAAGCATTTCCAAACGGGGTTGGCATTAACTCAGACCTAGGTTACGTCTTCTTTTCGGCTTCAGAGCTTTCAGCTGTGCCTCAGCACAGATTCCTATAGCCATGTGGTTGATACGGAGTGTAATTCTATGTCACCATAACTTCTCCTCATCACTAGTAAAGCCACCCGGTTTGTGCCTGGAGACGTGCTGGCTGTGTTTGTAGTGGCCTCAACAATGAGCTGCTGCAAAGCGCCACAGGCTTTGATCCCGAGGTGCTGAGGCCCGTGCGCTTCAGCAACGGTGAATGCCGTCACCTCCTCGGCATGCTGCAGGGTCAGGCCAGTGCCACAGTGCAGGACGCGGCAGCTCTCAGCATGCTCTCAGCATGCTCAGTATTTGGAGCCTCTGGAGTTAAACAAGCCTGTTACTCGCTAGGAGGGTACTGGATTGCCATTCGTTATAGTTAGTGATGAAAACAAAATTCTGGTAGACACCCTCAGGGAAGAAGATCAGTAGATCAAAATGACCATGAACCAAAACATCCTTCCAAGGAACTTCAGACCAGTGAGCAACCACTTCAGTTTCTTTGTCTTTTTTATGCCAAAGATGGTAAAATGCATCCAGCGTGGGCTTCCCACGGGGTCAGAGCCTCCTTTGGGCATCCCCCTGCTCTGGTATGGGACCCTCCCTAGTCTGCAGCAGGGTCTCTGCTCCCCCGTGACCCTCCATGGCTGCAGGGCACAGCCTGCCCTCTCACCACCAGCTGCAAGGGAACCTCTGCTCCGGCACCTCCTCCCGCCTTTCTGCACTGCCCTGGGTGCCTGCCTGGGTGTCTCTCACACCCCCTGGGTGTCTCTCACACCCCACTCCTCTCTCCTCTACAGGTTTTCTTTTTTTTCCCATCTAAACTATGTTAATCACAGAGGCACTGACTGGCTTGGCCATGGCCAGGAGCAGCTCCAGCTTGGGGTGGGGAAGCTTCCTGCAGCTTCTCACAGGAGCCACCCCTGTGGCCCCTCCTAAAACCCCACAACACACGGACGGTCACTGAGACGCACCTTCAAACAGTCTTCACCTCCCAGTTTATTGTATTCTTGTTGAAAACTAGCGCTTTGGGAATACTGTTAACCCTCTGCCCCTTTTTAGTTCTTGTGCTGGTAGCAGGTTCACTTAGATACTCTGCTCCCCGATACCTGTACTGGTGGTATACTTCAATAATATGATTTACAATGCATTTTCATGAAAGCTTGTTTGACTCTCCTGATTCCATTAGGTCAGACACTCACTGAACAGGCACCTCCTGTTCCCTTTTACTATGGAACTTTTAAGCGTGACCTGACAAGCTGGAAGAAGTTCAGCGCGCTGGCTCACTGTGGTGTAAAACACACGCA